GTGTCACCTGCAAGGCACGGGGGGGCTGGGAGGGTGGTGTGACCTTCCTGGCTCTCTCCCCAGGATGAACCAGGCCCCCACAGTGGGTTTTGAGGGCGACGTGGGTGGTCGGACCACACACCACTTCATGTACCCCGAGAGTGCCAAGAACCTGCCCGCCAACGTCAGCTTCGTGCTGGTGCCCTTCAAAACCCTGGACTTGCTCTGGATTGCCAGTGCCCTCTCCACTGGCCAGATCAGGTTGTAAGTACCCAGTGGGCACCGGCAGCACCAGGCTGGTGACTCACCTACCTTGGGGACAGCTCCCCTGGGAGCAGTGGGCATTCACTGGTTCCTCCCTCCCAGAGCATCCCTTGGCAGCTCAGGCTGGAGATGGGGGTGTGGGACCCCTGAGAGCTCACCTGCCTTTCCTCTTTTCCCAGCACATACGCGCCTGTGAAGCCTTTTCTGCGTGTGGACAAAGAAAAGGTACAGGGGGCTCATCCCCACAATGCCATAAGCACCTATTTGGCCACGGCCCCTGTTACCCCATCAGCCCCCAGGGTTCCCAGTGCTTTGGCACCCCGGGAAGGAACCTGGGGTGCCAGTGCTGACTGGGACGTGGCTGGGGCTCCAGCACTAACCCCAGCCCGTCCTCCCAGGTACAGATCTACAATCCTGCCTTCTTCAAGTACATCCACGACCGCTGGACGGAGCACCACGGGCGCTATCCCTCCACTGGCATGCTGGTGCTCTTCTTCGCCCTCCACGTCTGCGACGAGGTAGGTGATGGCTCCTTCAGCTCCTGGCTGGCACGGGGTGGGTTTGCTGGGATCCTGAACCTTGCAGGGCTAAGGAGGGAGGTGGATTCTTTGGGTCCAACCGCAGCAGCGTTCACTTGCTCCAGTTGCCTGACACCACGGTGATGGGCACCCTTGAGGGGTGGGAAGGCTGTGCAGGGAGACAGGGAAGAGAAAAATCACCCTGGCATTGCAGCAGGTGCCCAGACAAGGGGGTCCCCCAGCCTGGGGATGGGTTCTGGCTCACTCCCTTCCTTGCCCCTGCAGGTGAACGTCTTTGGGTTCGGCGCTGACAGCCGGGGGAACTGGCACCACTACTGGGAGAACAACCGCTACGCGGGGGAGTTCAGGAAGACGGGGGTGCACGATGCCGACTTCGAGGCGCACATCATCGACATGCTGGCCAAAACCAGCAAGATCGAGGTTTACCGGGGCAACTGAGGGCTGTGCCGCCCCCGGCTCCCTGCTCTGCCGGGTCCTGCTGCCTGCGGGGCAGAGGGTGAGGGGCTCCCTGGTGGCCTCGGGTGACGAACACCAGTCGGGCAGCGCCGGTTCCGCGCCGCTGACAGAGCCACCCCGGCGATATTTGGTGCCTCCAGCAGCCAATCAGGTTCAGTAGCTAAAGGAGACTTTTTGCTTTTTTTTTTTAATAATTATTATTATTATTAAGAAACCCAGCTGAGAAAGGATTTATAAACACAATCAGCGACTGACCAGGCGGCGGGGGCGGCCGCCTCACATCTCTACAGTCAAACCAAATGCTGCTCTTTTTAAAACAAGACAACCCCCACCCCGAAGCTGGGTGACTTTGGGGAACCCCTCGAGCACCAGCGTCTGGGCCGAGGGAGCCGTGGCGGCTGCGCAGCCTCACCAGTGGAACCGGCTGCTGCTTTTTTCCTCTATTTTGGGTTTTTGTTGTTTTTTGGGTTTTTTTCCCACCTGGGGCAGCTGATGCCTCGTTTCTCCGGAGAAGGCTCCCAGCAGAGGCAGGTCCCAGCACATGGATCCGTGGGGAGCTGGCAGCTGCAGGAAGCTGACCATTGCCGATGCTCCACTGCAGGCTGGTGATCACTGGCACAGCCGGGCTGGGAGATGAAGAGGAACCCTGACTTCAACACCCAGGATCTCTGCTCCTCTACCCGAGGACTGAGGAAGGATATGACAGATTTTGGGAGCGACTGTGCAGGAGGCAGCTCAGAAACCCCCAGGAGCAGCAGCCCAGTCCCTCTGGCTGGCCTCTGTGGGCGGTTGCAGGATTCACAAGGCTGTGGGATGCAGCAGGGTCAAGGAGACAGGATTTCCTTCGCTTTCAGGCTGGGAAAAAACAGATTAGAGATAGCTTTAGAGGGTGATTGAACCGTGCTTTTGCTTTTGTGTTGCTCTAAAGAGCTCTTGTGAGAAGCTGAAATCCCAAAGTCTGCTCCATTTGCGAGGGTGGCACTTGGTTTAGACCAGTCTGATACAGCTGGTGCCCTCAGGGTCCCCAGGGCTTCCCAGGCTGGACAGGCATGAGACAGGGAGATGCTGAAGGAAACTGCCTCCCCAGAGGTGTCATTAAAACCACTTTTCTTTGGGTCAATCAGATGGGTGGGGGTGGTTTTTTTTTGGTTTGTGGTTTGTTGTTTTTGTTTTTTTTAGGAGGTGCTGGAAAGCTCAAGAAAAAGGCAATCATGGAAAAGGTCCCCCAGAGAGGGACCCTCCACCTGTGCAGCCGGTGCCAAGAGTGGGGTGGGGGCTGTGGGGTTGTGCCCAGCTGGGGAAGCCCTGCCCACACTGCCTGGTTGCAATAGTTGTTTGAGGAACAATCACCACAGGGTGTTTTTGGGCTTTGAGGATTTTTACCCTTTTGTGTCTGGCTTTTCTGTAGCAGCCTCTTACCTGTTTCTCTGCTTCAGTTTGGTTGTTTTTCAGGGTTTTCTTCTCTTTTTTTCTTTGAGGTTTCTCTCTGCAATTGTCAAACACTAGGGTGTGGGTTGGTCACCTGGAGCAGGCACTCAGGAGCCCCTGGGCTGGGGAAATTCAGCTTTTCTGCCCGCAGGGCTTTAAACCCTTGAATTTTGTGGTGGGTTTTGGTGGGTGTGGAGCTGCCCCAGCGCTGGCAGCCCCGAGCCCCGGGGCACAGAGGCAGGTGGCAGCGAGCCCTGCTCTCCACCTTCCCGGGTGGCTTTTTAGTTTTTGTTTTGTCTGGTTTTTTACGGGGAAGAAAAGTAAAAACCACAAAACCACAAGCAACAACGAGTGCCTTGACCATCTCCCATCGGCCATGCCAGGCTGTGCCTGCTCCCGTGCCGGCAGCAGGGACTTGGCCAATGTATCTGGCAGTCGTACCCACCTCCGTCCTCGCACCAGGCTGGATCTTAGTTGGGAAGAGAGGGACACATCCAGGCCACTATACTGGTGGCTAGAAAGGCCAAATCTAATGTGATGAGGCCAGACCAGCTCCTGTTGGAGCTGAGCAGGGCCCGGCCTGACAATCACAGGGCAAGTGGAGGCGCCGGGTGCCAAGCCCGGGTACCAAACCCTGCAGCAGCACAGTGCTGGCACCTGGCGAAGGGCGTGTTCACAGCTCGGGGCTGCCCTGGCAGTAGTTAGTTTTTTTTTTTTTGCTAACTTCCTTCCCCTACCCCCTCTTTTCTTTTTTGTTGTTGTTTTAATTATTATATTATTATGATTTATTTAAGCTGTCCCACTAGGACTGGCGAGCACTCGCGTTCCGCGGGCAGGGCCGCAGGCAGGAGCACGCGCGGCCGGCGCACCACTGTACTGTACATAGAGGAGATGTAGGCAGAGGCTACGGGCAGGGGGGCAGGCAGGGAGGGGGTGCCCAGGCTTGCCCACCTGGCAAAGGTTAGTCTGCATCACACGGTGCCTGATCCGAGCACCCGTCACCTCCCGCCCCGCCGGGACCGGGAGAGACCAGTGCTCTGACCCGGGGCTGGGAGCAGGCAGGCAGCTCAGCCCGTAGCCTCTGTGTACATGGGTACTTCTGCACACAACTGTCTTAAAACAACTGTTTTTTTTAAAGGACAATAAAAACCATGCATCAAATCTGCTTGGGGGTTTTTGTCTGGTAGCCCTGACTGCTGTGCCTTTGCCTGCACCCAAACGCGGTCACGAGAGGAGGGAAAGGGAATGGGAGGGTTGGTGGGGCCCAAGTGCTCTGCTCTCCCCTCCTCTCCCGGGCCAGACATAAGGCACCATCTGTGGGTAATCCCCTCCACTGGGGCAGGAGCAGAGCCTGGCCCCACACTGGCCTGGGTGCCCAGCAGCAGAGCCCCAGCACAACCCCTCCGGCCAGACCCCGTGGTTGGTGATGGCACTGCTCACCCAGACCCCACACTCATGTCCCAGCCCCCCTGGACCCAAAAACAGAGGCCCTGGACCAACACAGCCCATGTCCTTGAGCCCCAGAGGAGCACACAAGGCTCTTGCATAACAAATGCTCAAATTCGGGAGTAGTTAAAATGCCTCTTTATTAATATACAAACCTAGCAACATTTAAGCCAACCAAAATATGAAATGAAATCAAGCATGATATAAATACAGCATATATGACAACATGGCCTCAGTGGGGAGCAGCAAACTCACCCTGACTTGTGCGCTTGGGAACAACTGTCCACGTCCTCCTCCACGGGGCCTGGCAATCAGAGCAGCCTCGTCTCTCCTAAACCCCCTCGAATCCAAACCCTGCAGAGGTGAGACCACTGCCCCCCACAAAGGCAGAGCACCTGGCACAAGGTTTCTCTGACCCCACATTGCAAAGAAAGAGCCTCCCCAAGCTGCCAGAGCCGACCTGCTGGCATCTGCTTGCCAGGCCCCTGCAAGGGGAGAGGGTGTAGTGGATGGGGAACCGTGCTGCTGAAAGCTGCTCCTTGCTCTGTCCCACCTCAGCTACATCCATTGCACAACATTCACAGGCGTAAGGCACTAGAAAAGTGTTTTCACAGGTTCAAACTTCAGTTGTTCTTAAAATTTCGGTAGCAGCACTCATCAGAAATCCTCCCAGCCCTTTAAAATCTGTTCTTGGGAGACAAAAGCATGAAGGGGTTTGGATGAGCGTCCTGCTGCAAGCCTGACCAAGAGACAGAGAACCCATGATAGACTTCAGGGACATTACCCTGCCTCTGGTTTCACTGGAAGAAGTGAAATCTGCTCCACTACGGGAAGAATATGGAATTTGAGCGTGGAAAAAATCTCAGCGGCGGCAAGTAAAAAGGCAGACAGCACAGGATTCTTCTCACACACACAGAATGGATCAGGTCCTAGCTGGGATGGCTGATGACTCCCAAGTATCTGCTCTGCTTGTAGCAGGTGTCAAGAGTTCATGGGGGAAGATCAACTGTTACCAGCATGGACAAATCAGTAAGTATGGCTGTGAACACCTTCCTGATGATTCCTGCTCCTGCTCGCGGGGATTCTGATCCCAGCAGGTGGGATCTCACACACAGCACATCAGCACAGTGTGCCAGCTCTGGCTCTGCTGCCAGCACAGAAGCCAGCCTGACACTGGGCATGCAGCTCAGCTTTGAGACAAATGGGAGATGAGAAGTCTCAGAGCCATCTCAGCAAACACTGTGGGCAGCGGCAGATCCCCTCTGCTCCCACTTCTGCCGACTCCTGCCTGCAAATGTCAGATGGTACAGCAGGGAAGCATTCAAGCAGAGAATTTTGTTTCCTTTAATGCAATGGGACACTCACAGAGTACTCTGCACCAGCCCAGGCTTCTTTAAGAAATAAGAAAACCCATTACACCATGAAGAAAAAGTGAATAAATCCGTCTCCGGAGGGAAAAACAAACAGGAAGGTGTCAGCCCAGCAGCTGAACAGGCACAGGGGCTCCCAGCTCAACACAAATTCCAGCCTCACACTGCAACAGCAGCTTCCCCCATCCCCAGTGCTTGCTCAATAGCAGCTCTGGGTGCTCACACACAGCTTTCCAGGAAGGAAATCAAATTGTACCATGGCAGGTACAGTCAGTGCCCAAACACCACACTCAGAGCTTTAAGGCATTTTTAAATACTTAAAGGGGTTTTTTCCTATCAAATGCAAAGACTACTCATGCAGAGGGCTAAAAGCACTAAATGCATGGTGCTACAGCCATAATGCTTAAGGAAAAGTTTAAAGTGCAAAGAAAATTTTCCAATACTTTTTAGTGACAGCTTGAAGTCATCTGATGACCCTAATCCCCTCCTTCCCCCCAGGTCCTGTTCCCTGACTGAACGCTTTGTTTTTTTAAATAAAAATACAAACAATCAGTTAAGGAAAAGGTACTTTAAAACAAACAAACAAAAATCTTGAAATGGGCAGAAATTAATCTAAGTATTATAATAAACTCATTTGGGAAGACAAAGCTAAAGGTTGTGATTATTTTGCTCGACACTGTCAGCAGCCAAGTGTTGTGTTTTAAATAAAAACAACTTCTGCCCTTCCAAGCAGCTGCCCCCTCTCCCAACACAGAAACTACCTTGGTTTTACAGACTTCTTCCCAAAATTTAACCACTCTGGTTCATTCAAATGCCCTGGAAGGACGAGGTTAGCAGTGTCAGTGCTGTATCTTTACAGCTGCAAGAATGTGCTAGAGAGAGACCAAAGTGTTTGGGGCAATCAAGTGCTCACAGTTCCCACCTCACCTGTGTGGCACCGTTTCCTTCATCCCATTGAGAGAGAGGGAAAGGTGCTTGGAAAGAAGTGCTAATGCTGTCCCAACTTGGCCCAGAGCCACGGCTCTCATCTGTCCAGCACCAAAGCTGCAGAGGAGGATGCTCCCTGAGCTGGGAATCCAGGCTGATCATCTCTCTAAGGCTGGGCTTAAGGAATCAAGTAATGGGCACCGGCTCAAACCTCTATCACGCCTCTCCTTCTGCCTCAGCTCAGCCACTCTGCCATCCCCTCTCCTGTTTTTATTTTGCCATGCCTTGCTCTCTGATGGGCAAAAGGGACTAATGTGACTAGAGAAGTGGTAAGGACAGCAGGAAAACCCTGGCACAGGGAAAGGGAAGGTTAAATGATGGGATATACAGTGACCACAAACCTGCCTGGGAGTTCAGATACTGGTATCAGCACCATCTAAAAGCTGAAGAGCTTAAACTGATGCAGAGAGGCAGATCTAGAGCCAACCTGGCTCTCAAGACAAAGCATTAGGTAGAAGGAAGAGAAGAACCCTGTGCATGAGAAATCCTGCAGCAGCACAGGCTGGGGTTTGGAGGTGCTGCAGGAACAGCAAATGATTGGTGGCAGCTCAAATGCAAGAGTAGAAAGGAGGAATCCAAGCTTACACCAGGACTTGGAGATGCAGTGGTTGTTTCACACAGCATCCCCTCCTTGCCACAAAATAAGAAACTGTCCAACAAGGCCTGTCAAATCTAAATACAGGAGGCAGCACAGGAAAGACAAGAAGAAACCAAGTCTGGCAAAAACGGATGTGAAAATGACTGTAACACATTCTCCTAAAACAGAAAACATCATTCCAAAATAGGCTGCGTTCGTTTTATCCTCAGATCATTAAATATGAACAATAAAGTCTCTCTTCTATAGTACCACTTTTACTCAAGCCTTGCAGTACTCAAAGACTAACAAAACACGAGAACATAAGGACACAACAAGGTTAAGACAATGTAATACCTCCAGAAAAATCATTCAGTGGAAGGAAGTGGTACCTCTTCTCCAAGTTCCCCAAACTACAAACAACACTTGGGTAAGCCAGCCCTTCCCATGCATGCACATTTAGATGGATTCACTCATTAGCTTCCCTCCCAGGATGCCAGTATGAACAGAATCTGCAGGGTTGTTCCCATTCTGGACAGCAAATCTCAGAGAACTGCTAACAACCCTGTGACTGACACACACGAGGTGCAGAGGGCAGACCTGCTGCTGCTTCAGCACAGAATGAGGCTGTTTCCCCTTCCACTGCAGCAGAGAGGGATGCTGTTTCAGTGTTTCCCAGTCCAAGGTGCACAGTCTCACCATGCAGAATGAGAACAAACCGCCTTTCTCAGCAGAAGGCATTTTAAGGCAGTTTTAAGGATGAGAATCAGGATGTAGAATTTTACAGTCCATGTTATTTACCATCTTAGATGCTAAGACTGTGCCACAGCCACTTCCAAGACCAGATTATTTAATTTTCTGATTTGAAGGTGTACTAAAGGTACTCTTCAACAGATTTTGTTGTTCTTTTTTTAGGCACTCTACTTTAATCATCAGATAAGGGATTAGTCTTACACGTCACTGCTTAATGCCTCTAGAAGAAAACACTACACTAGCAGGACCTTCCTCAGTCTCAGCATCTCTATTTTAAAACGTGATCCAATTGTCCCCTTGACGGGTGTTCAAGTTGGTGAAGACAAACTATTCTTTACCACTGTAAGGTTAAAAATAACTACACCAGAAGTTACATCCACTGAGCCTGAACAGCAGCCGAAGAGCTCTCAGGTTCTGGTACAAAACAAGACCCAGAATTCACAGCAGAGAAGGCCAGAGTAGGCGTTAATGAGCTGCAAGACTGACAATTACCAAACCACCCAAGTCTCAAACGGCAAACACAGCACTACAAAAAGTGTTCCTATATCTATCAGCATGGTAGAAAACTATATTCCCTCTCTATTTTTGGTATGGAAAAGTCAATAGATCTAGACATAAAATAAACCTTCCAGGCATAAAATAAACCTTAGCAGACATAATGACAAAAGTAGCTCATAAACCACAATTTCATTGTCAGAACTGCTGGAGAAGAGACACCCGTGTATGAAAAGTTGCCTGAGGAAATAACAGGCACCGATAAATTAGGGAAAAGGAAAAATAATCACAAGGAGGAATATAATCTGGCTGCAACTTAAGGTTGATCCTTCGAGAATGAGTGGTTGGTAGAGGACAGCATGCTGCTAACTTTCCTTGGTTTGGCCTTAACTAGTTCTAACCCTGCAGAGAACAAACTGAATGGTTCCAGTAAAATCTCTCTTCAGGAGTTGCATGATGCACCTCAGCACACCTTGGCCCTATATTTTTTGCCTTCTCCTGAAGAAGTATCTTGCCTCACCAGCAACAACAAACAG